ATCTTAATCAAGATCTATTCTACAAGAGAGATTCCTTAGAATTCTCTTAAAACTATAATCTACTAAAAATGCAAGTTAAGAACTAAACTCATAGAACTCAAACTAAACTAAATAACTAATTATCTAACTAACTAACTGTCTCAATTTACTAGCTAAGATATATTACTTTTATATATTTTAGAGATTATATGAATAATACTTTTGTTATGATACTTATGTTAGTTTTACTATGATCTAAATGTTATTTTAGATAGTATCATAATATTAGTTTTGTTATGATAGTATTGTTAGTTTTGTTGTGATAGTTTTGCTAACTTTGCTATAATAATTTTATCATGATTATTATGTTTACAAAATCTTCTAAAAATATTTACAAATAATATTCTCTAAAACTAATATCTAATAAGATATAAAGAATTATTCATCTAATCAAATTGTGATATGAAGTAACCAATAATAAAATTAATTAATATTCTACTAAAAGTTTATATCACAACAGTATGTTTATTTTATATTTGAAAACAGAAATATTTATATATTCTTGAGATTATATAAATTTTATTTAATTTCTACTCATAATTTATTTATTGTTCTAGTATAAATTATAAGTTTTAAAATTAAAAAACTATAAATAAACAAGTAAAATAAAGAAATAAAATATATATAATAAATTAAAAGATAATACAAATGATAAAATAAAATAAAAAGATAAATAATAAATAAGATAAATATTCTAAAAAGAAAAGATAATAAAGAAAAATAAATAAAACTCATTTATGAATTATTTTTAAAGTATTATTAAACTATTAATAAACTATTTGTAAATTATTATTGACTTTTGAGCTAATTAGATATTTATAATTCTGAAATATTGTTAAAAGATTGTAAAATCATTGCTGAATTATAACTGAATCTATAATTAATATATTAATTAAATTATTTGAAATTATATATTTTTAAAGATTAATTAATTGATCAAAAATCTGAAGTTTGAAAAATTATGAAATTAAAGAAATTTATATTATTATAATAATAATATAATAAAAATTTTTATATTTAAATAAATCTTAATATTTAATGACTTAATTAAATAAGATAAAATTAAAATTTTAGTTTGAAATTTTTTTGTATCAATTTATAATTAGTTATTTATTATTTGATTACTTTATATTATAATATGATTAGATAATTAATTATTTATATTTTATTAAATATTAATTTAAAAAAATTTTATTTATAAAAAATTTTATAAATATGATAATTATGATAAAATTATTATAATAAAGTTAGTAAAACCAGCAATATTATAATATAATCAATATTTTATATTAATTAAAATAGTATTTAAATCATAACAAAAGTAATATAAGTATTATAATTTGTAAAATCTTTTAAAATATATAAAAATAATATATTTTAATTAGTAAAAAAAAAAGTTCAATAATTTTATAAATTTTAAATTTTATAGATTTTAATTCTCAAGTTAAATTTTAATAAAATTTAATTAAGAGAATTTTAAGAAATATCTCTTATAGAATAGATCTTATAAAGATCTATTATTTTAATTTATTAATAAACTATTTGTTATATCTTTATTAAAATATTTTGAAATTAAACTATATTCTAGCTAATTATACTATGAATATTATTATTATTTATCTTTAAAATAAATCTTTGATAAATCTTAGTAGAAAAATATATTCTTATTAATATATCTTATAGACTTATCCAATAATATTATTAATAAAAATACATATTTTGATAGTTTAAGATAAATACTCACATCTAGAATAATCTTATATCAAAAAAATAATAATATTAAAATTATTATATAATTTAAAATATAACTTAATTAAAAATCTTGAAAATAAAAATATAATTAAGATATCTGTTTTGCTTAATTACTAAAAATATAACTCAGAATGAAATATAATCTAGTAAAAATATAATCCAGATATAACTATAATTTTTTTGTAAATTTTATATTTATGAGAGAAAAAGATAAAGAAAAAAAAACAAAATATAATAAAATTTATATGAAACTATAGCTGGCAGAATCAAGAACAATTTTAATTATTAGAGAAAAAACAGTTAAACCATTAGATTGCAAGTAAAGAAATTTTTTCACTGCTTTGAAAAAGGGAATTCTGCCTGGTCAAAGATGTGAAAAAATTTATTTTGTCTACTAATTATTATAATTTCTTAATATTATTGCTTGCATTATATATGCTTATTATAGTAAATATAAAATATAAATAGGATTAAAAAAAAAGTATAAATACTAGATATTAAAGATACCAAATATCAAAGAAATTACATTGATTTTTACTTTGTACGTCGTCAAATGTCTATCATCGTGCATATAATTGCATCTGATTGATTTGATGATATATGAAATTGGTTTCCCTTGAAAAAGAGAGAAATCGCGCGTGTTGGAAAACATCCTCGTGAAACTTTTCCTTTCCTTTCCTTTCGTTACACCACTTCGTTATTTCTTTTTTTTTTTGTAAACATATGTTTAAAAGATGACTTCCCAACAACAAAAAGGTGGCATAAAATTGACGGATTTTGTGCTTCGACCCTCTCTTGGCAAAGCGGGAAAGCCGACTCGTGTTCGCACTAACTTCTTTGAAGTAACAAACTTGCCGGATATTAATGTCATACACTACGATGTGACTATCACTCCCGACGTACCTCCTGCTATAAATAAAAGAGTGTATAAGCATTTTGAAGATCAATGGTTAGTTTCTACTAAACCAGTATTTGACGGTATGTATTTGCTTTGAAGAGCTTTGTGATAGATTTTAGAATTAGACCACTTTATCTTACTCGCGCTCTATTCAACCTTTTCATCTGATACGTGTATTGCTATATTTCATGCATATATTGTTATGCTAAATTCCTTTTGATTTTTTTTATCTAAACTATTATTTATACAATAATCCAATCCAAATAGGACGAAAAAATTTATTTTCTCCCAAACCTTTGTCATTCGATGAAGGAAAAAAGTCTGAAGGAAAAAAGTCTGAAGCAAAAGATTCTGATGCAACAAATTTTGATGTAAAATCATTATTAATTTATAGGTAGATTTTTTATTATTTATTTATTTTACTAATTATAACCGTTACATAATTCATATAGATTATTCTCCCAGAAGATGATGGGATGACTTCCGCTAAACGCGCGCCCCGTAAATTCAGTATCAAACTTAAAAAAGTTGGCGTAATTACCATGGAAGAACTGCATCGCTTCCTTCAATCAAAAACGGCAAAGACGGAAAATTGTCTAACAGGTAACCAATATTTGCGAAAAATTTTAGTTTTCTTGTATTGTAATTGTCGACGCTATCATTAATTAAACATCAAATTGTTGTCAAATTTTAGCAATTCAAGTTCTTGATGTCTTGATTAGACATCAACCCTCTATGAAGGCTGCCATGGCTGATCACAGGCCCAAGTATGTCACTGTGGGACGTTCTTTTTACACTCCCGAAGGATCTCAAGCATTGTATGGAGGGGTTGAAGTGTGGCAGGGTTATTATCAGTCTGTCCGTCCAACACAAAATAAGATGATGATCAATATTGATCTATCTGCCACTGCCTTTTATGAATCTGGCAATCTCGTACAAATGGTGGTCAAACTGTTGGGAAAAAGATCAGCAGATGATCTTCGCCGCGGCATACAAGATAGAGATCGCGTTAAAATTGAAAAATCCTTAAAAAACCTCAAAATTAAAGTCACTCATCGCGGAGAAGCAGTCGCAAAACGTCGCTTTAAAATTACGAAACTCACTCCAAAATCAGCAGCCGAAACTAAATTCGATCAAGGTGAAAATGGTGTCACCGATGTTGCTTCTTACTTTAACAAACAATATCGAATACGCTTGAACCATCCATATTTGCCGTGCGTAACGGTAAAGAAGGATATGCACTATCCTATGGAAGTATGCGAAGTGGTTGAGGTAATGTTAGAGTATTTATAAATTTCATTAATCGCTTTTTTGATAAAAATTCGCTGTATGACTTATCCTTTATATAATAATAGGGACAACGTGTTCTCAAAAAGCTTAATGACCGACAAACAGCTGACATGATCAAGTTCACATGTCAGCCACCGCATATGCGAGCTAATAAAATAAAACAAGGATTAGAAATTTTGAGTTACCGAAGCAATGAATATCTTAAACAATTTGGAATGAGTGTTTCAAGTGAAATGGCCGTAGTATGCATTGAAATTTATCTATTGTATTTGTTATACTATTGAAAACAAGCGATTTAATATTTGGTTAATATCAAAGGTTCAAGCGAGAATTTTGCCTACGCCTACCTTAAAATATCATCCTAGTTCGCGCGATCATACAATAGTACCAAGAGATGGCGCATGGAATTTACGTGACAAGAAACTGGCTGCTGGTGCTACGCTTACCTCTTGGTCAGTGGTCGTATTTGCCTCTGAGAGGGAGCAAGTCGTACAAAATTTCGTTCGTGAACTGGTCAATACGTGCTCGGAGACCGGCATGGTAATAATCAATTCTCTTTTTTCATAATAAATGAGCAAGTGTTTCGTTTAACTTTATTTTCAATACTTTAGAACGTTACCAATAAACAGCCGCCTATCTCGATCGCTGGTAATCAGCGAGATATTGAGAATACCTTAAAACAAGCATGGCAGAAAGCCGGAAATGCTGTCAAAGCGCAACCTCAGCTTATTGTCTGCATTTTACCCAACACACAAACTTCTTTATATGCATCAATTAAGCGTGTTAGTGATACTATTTTGGGTGTGGCAACTCAATGTATCCAGTCTCGACATATGATGCAAGCAAAAAAGCAATATTGCGCAAATGTATGCTTAAAGATGAACGTCAAGCTAGGTGGCTACAATGTGCATCTATTACCAAATCAAGTCCCGTTTATATCGGAAAAACCCACTATAGTAATGGGTGCCGATGTTACTCATCCCTCCCCTGGTAATAATGTATAATAAGCTATATGATAGTTTATGCAATGAAAATAAGTCAATAATTTTATATTATTTTCATCAATTAAAGGGAGCGTTGGGCGTCCTTCTATTGCTGCCGTTTGCGGTTCGCTCGACCCAAAAACAACAAAATATTCGGCGTCAATTAGGATACAAGCTGGCCGTACTGAAATTATTGCTGAACTGGCTAACATGGTAAAAGAACTGCTTAAGAATTTCTATAAAGCTTCGGGAAAAAAACCAGAACGTATTCTGTTCTATCGTGATGGCGTTTCCGAAGGACAATTTGAACAAGTATTGGAATTTGAAATAAAGGCAATAAAAGGTATTTAGTTATTCAATTTAAACGTTATCACTTTAAACTTCTAATTTTCATATATTCTATTAAATAGAGGCTTGCAAGAGTTTGGATTCCAACTATAATCCTAGGGTCACTTTTGTAGTCGTTCAAAAAAGACATCACGCACGCTTCTTTCCCATTGATAATAAAGATGCTGAACGTTCGGGAAATTGTCTCCCAGGAACAGTGGTCGAATCTGGCATTACGCATCCGTTCGAATTTGATTTCTGTAAGTAAAAATTTATCAAATCTTGATGTTATTGTATAATTACTTAATTATTGTATATTTTATTATTTTAGATTTGCAAAGTCATTCTGGTCTACAGGGCACATCTAGGCCATGTCATTACCATGTTATCTATGACGAAAACTTGTTCACACCAGATTCGTAAGTTGTATTGATTATATACTTAAAATTTTTTATCAAACTTATAAAGCTTAATATTCTTTAAAATTTTTGCAACAGGTTACAATCTTTATCATATAATTTATGTTATCTTTACGCAAGATGTACGCGCTCAGTATCTCTAGTGACGCCCGTTTACTATGCTCATTTGGTCTGTAGTCGTGCTCGTTTTCACTCGAGAGATGATACCTTTTCAGAGTTTAGCGACTCTGCTGACGATGGTATTGGAGCAGCAGCTAGCTTTAGTGCAGTAAAACCGGAATTGGCTAGAGTAAGTTTTGTGAAAATTCAATTTTTTTTCTTTATTCATACTAATATATCTATTAAATATTCAGGTTATGTATTTCATGTGAACGCTCTTTCTCACATACGAATATTAGCAGAAGGGCTTTGAATGTGTTTTACATATAAATCTCGGATTAATTGCATTAAAAATTTCAAAAAAAAATTATCTATCCTTGAAATTATATATTTAGAAAATATAAACAGTTAAAAAAAGTAAAAAAAAGTTTATCACAGGAATTGTAAATATCAAATAAAATTATTGAAGACACAAGTTTCCTCCTATATTGTAAATGGAACAGTAAAAGCGCAATTTGATTTTAACAATTTAACTTGATTTTAAAATACACATAAGCTTCTGTATTCTAAACACTAGTATTAACTACCATTTTTTAAATTTTCGTTCTTTCACCCAGGTTCTGTAATCGATTTTATACTTGGAATTACCATTGAAAATATCAGTCACGTGAAGACTTCCGTTTGCCATGTTAACTATTAAACGCCAATTCAGAATAGTATGTATGAAACGCATACCACTGGGCTGGGTGTTTGGCTTGTTACTTCTGTAGTTAAACAAGAGTTGGAGTCTTTTAAAATTCAACACAACCTAGTAAAAGGTACACGATTCGTGAAGATAGCTGCCACTCCAAAAGAATCACGTATATATAGGAACGTCAGAACCTTGCATGATATTTGACTTGAAAATACCGCAGAAAATCGATTATTTCGATTTTTACAAGTTTATGAAACATTTCAAGTTACCATCGGATCAATCAAAAACTAACGCTGGGACGGCACAAAGCCATACCAACTTATTCTATGATACTACATTTTTGAAAGAAAATAATACACCAGAATTTTTGTTTGGTACTGAAATTTATCATAACGTAATAATCTTCGTAGAAGCTCACAACGCGATGAAATGGATTGATAAATCTCTTAGAAAGGCTTTTTCCTGGAATGACCGTTCGTACCTGGGAATAGTCGCCTTATACAACTGATGAGCAATTGGACAAACTTAATAAGGCCACGTTCGGTTTGATAATCGTTTTGATCCGAATGACCCAAAGTTTAAAGAAAGCCCGTTTAACTATTATAACACTAAAGACTTCTTTGTTGTAACCAATGCCGTATCCGGTATATAATGCAGGTCGACTATTGTACTAATTCAGAACGTGTACAGCGTATGGATCGTGTTGGTCGCAAGCGTCCTGAATTGGGGTATTATGTGTGGTAACAATACGCTCAATGTAGCAGAGATGCTGATAGCTATTAGTGGTTTTTTGACTGTAGCAGATCTTTTTAGAATCAATAATGTAAGATCCTGAATTTTTAAACGAGGTAAGCAATTATTCGAAAACAGCCTTAAGACTTTGTGATGATAGGCTTGCCCGATTGATTTTTGGCTGGATAATGAATACTCAGAATCATATCTATCAACCACTCAAGGATGCCATAATTTAATGGATTGCTTCTGAACGTGGTGAATATACCAAAGAGGAATTTTAGCAGATCAAAAATGAAATTCATCCAATTCTCAAGAGGCTATCGAATTCGAGAATGCCCGAAAATTGTGGGAAGATTACTACATTAAGATCGAATCTAGTAATCCATACGAGGCTATCGCCAATGAAAATTGGTGTGTGGTGTATCTTAAAGTATCATGGATGCCTACAATGTTGCCTAGGACTATTTTGGAACTTTGTATCGAGTGGGATGGCCCAGATCATCATAATGAATATGGTACTGGTGTATGGATGAAAGATAATGTTCACCAAATAGAATAAATTTAGCAACAAAGCAAGATTAAAATGCCAACTATAACAGCGCGCGTTATGTTTAAGGAACAGAAAATAAAGGAAATTTCATTTATTGGTGAAAATAAAACAAACACAGTGCTTAACAATCTCAATAAGACAACGTCACAGAGACAGTCAAAATCTAAGTTTTACAACATTCCCCGGACTTGAATAATTTAATAACAAAACAGTTTGTTACAGATGCATTTTCATCTGATAAGAATACAGAATTGATGAATTCATTAAACATACAGTTAATAATATATTGGATTTACATCAAATATTAAGCACACTAGCTGTGAACAAAGAATAATCACACTATTTATTTGGAGTGTTATGCCAAAGTATCTGAATAAATAGGATTGATTAGTTTTATTGCATTATTTATAATATTACAAAGTTTCTTGAGCATAAAATAAATAAGCACAACCTATAATATTTGATATATTAGTTATTAATATTCTGATATATTATTATTTCTCTATTAATAGAGAATGATCTTTGTAAATTATTATATTTAATTATTTTAATTTATGAATTATTGATGAATTTTCAGAATTTATTTATAATATTATTAATAAAATTATTAAGATTGATCTTATTTTTAAATAATAAAAATAATTATAAAAGCTACTTGATAATTATATTAATTTATTTAATATTAAAATATCTAGTTAAACTAATATTATTTAACATAAGATTTATTTAAAATTATTTAATTATATTTAGATTATAAAGTATATAATAAAAAAAATTAGATATTTTAATTTTCTTCATAAATATTTATTTAAATAATATAAAAATTTAAATATATATAGTGATGATCAAAAGTAATGACTCAGGAGTTAAATTTATTAACATAATGAAAATAATGAAAATTAAAATTTTCTTTTTATATAAAAATTTATAATTTTAATAAGAAATAATTTTAATTTTTATATTAAAATAAAATTTATTAGTTATAGTTTAATATATATTTTTTTCAGATTTATTAGATTTTTTCTAAAAGAGTTGCTCTAATTATAAAATTAATACAAAAATTTTTACTAATTAAAAATGAAATTTAAT